AGATATCAAAGACGCGTTCCTACAAGTGGATCAGAAGAAAGAATTGCAGGCGACAACAAACCTGGGAAGATTTAGAGTGTTGAAGAACTTGCCAGGTCAACGACAGGGAGCTCAAGCATGGTTCAACCATTTAGTTGAGTTTCTGGAGAGCATTGGGTTTGAATTCTTCAAAGAGAACGCATGTCTTAGGAGAAAGGCAGAGCAAGTCTTTGTGCTTATCCATGTCGATGACATCTTGTACTACGGATAGGAGGAGGCAGTTCAGGACTTCATTCAACAGCTAAGAGAAAAGTTTGAAATCTCAGTGAGCCAAATCAAGCCGCCGTGATGAGTTTCAAGTCCTTAAGCGTACCTACAAGCTTGGGAATGACGGCTTGTATATCATGCCAGGATGATATGCCAATGACACGATCAAGAACTTTGAAGATTTCTATGGACACACAAAGAAGCAGAAAGTATTTTGAGGATGAGATATCCAAGAAGCCTATGGATCTGAGGAATTGAGTCAAGAGGAGATAGCGCTATACCGACCCTTAGTGGGCAGTGGCATCTACTTGTCACAGGAAAGATTGGATTCGAGCTTCGCGATCAAAGAGCTTGCGTCCTCTACGTCGACGCCAACGGCAGTGAGTATAAGCAGGATGAAGAAGCTGATTGGCTATCTGAAGTCAACAGAAGGTCAACGTGTGAAGATTCCATTTCCATGTGCATACTGTCGCACGGATGCAGATTGGAGCGGACACAAAGGACATCGAACATCTACATCTTCATCTGTACATGCGGTGAATGGATGTGTGGTCTTTGAAATGAGAGGACAGAAAGTAGTCAGTTTGAGTCAGAGTGAACTACATGCACTAGTTGGAGGCGCGTGTGACGGATGGAGTATTCGTTCGGAAATGATGTCTCAAATTTCTGACAGACGAAGAAGTCCAACATTTTGCTTGATGGAGAATTCAGCAGCGAGACAGATCAGGTGCAAACGAGGAAGTGGAAAGTTGAGGCGCGTCAGTGAAAAACTTCCATGGTGTCAAGATTTCTTCGAAAGAACTTGAAGTCAAGCTGATTGGAACGATTCACAACGTGTCAGACATCGGAACCAAACCGCTTAGTCAACAAAGGTTGAAAGTCTTACTGCGCAAATGCCATGCATCGATGGAGATGGCAACAGAGTCGGTGAGAAGGAAAGACAGGAAGTTGAAGAGAGAGAGAGAGATGCAACGTGGCAAGGTCCAAAGTTTAGCCAAAGCACTCGAGAAGATTATGTATGCAAGCGGCCTTGGGTCAGTGGCGCACGTAACACAGAGGCGGAAAGATCGAGATGACATTGCAGGGGGAGAACTTGTCAAGAACATGGTCTGGGTTGTTCTTTTCGCAGTGGCAGTAGTTCTATTTGGTGTATTCCTGATCTGGAAGAAGTACAAGAAGCTAGAGAAGAGGATGGAAGAAAATGAATTAGCTTTGAGATTTCAGATCTTGGGATTGAGTTCAGCAAAGGACGAAATTGAGGAAGCCAGACACGAGTTCAAGTCCTATGTGATCAATCAAGGGCAATTTTGATTCTATGAGAGATGATTATTGCCAACGTCTTCGCAGAGCCACAGTGAAACAGAACGGCTATGTGGAACAAGAAGAATTGACTTCAGAAGAAGAGAGATGCATGAAGTTTCTTGAGAAGGGCAATCAAAATTGGGGACAAGAGCAAATAGCAGAGAGGCTCATGTGAAACCAGTGTGAGGAGACGAGAAGTGAATCACACAGAAGGGAGGATACTCCAGCGCCTTTGAGAGGAAATGGCAGGGGAAGAGAATGAAGAGAATCTGATTGGCATGACAGCTGCATTTCTACTGGATAGTGGAGAAGAAGTTGAGATTCCAGTGGAATATTTAAGCGCAGAAATAGTGTCGAGAACGGTGGATGAGAGGCAGCTCACAGCTCCTCCACCATTTGAGCCACCAGATGAACCAGAAAGAGGAGTGGAAGGACCAGAGCTTCCAGACAATGATGTTGATATGACAGGTGCAGGGGCAGTGAGAGCTACTGGAGAAGGAGAAGTAACAGATGGACTCATAGATGTCGTTGAGAAGATGGGCACTTTGAGGGCCAGAGCGTCATTGCAGGCGCGAGAAGAATTGTTGAAATTTGAAAACAGTACCGAGTTGTACAACAGAGTTGGTGATACAGTGAAGCTGCGGAAACCCTACGGGGAGCTACGGAAAGTTGTGGTTTTCATCACAGATTAAGTGGAACATCGCGCGGGAAAAGAGAGCACCATTAACTCCGGCACCGGAGGAGTGCCTAACTCTTGTAGATGAACTCAGTGTTTCACATTTACCCCGCAGGTCGCATAGCGGCTCAAGACAAGGTCCGCATCCGCACTAAATATATAATCGAAATTAAAGCAGTTATGCCAAATGCCAGAGGATGATTGGCCTATCAAACATAGTCACAGTCATTCGTTCCTTGTCAACGGGGATTGATGGAGGACATGAACTCAAAATCCCAATAGGCAAAAACAACAAACATGTTGAATGTTTGGCCCCCAAAAGCCTCGGCAGGTTAGAAAGATTAAACATTACAACTTTCTCGCTCTATGGGGATCTTTGTTCTGTGTGTTTGCCAAGGTTTTTTGAATGTTAGGGTCTGATGCACAGAAGGTGTAGTGAACCTCAACACGTTCATAAAGAAAAGGGCCTTAACACTGTGGAAATTATGTTCTTTTCTAAGACTATTCTTTTATGCCTGTCAAACTTTTCTGAATATCAGGCATTGAACATTTTTGTTCTTTTTGAGCCTGTCAAGCTTACATTGAAGGTCCGTTGCGGAAAAGGTGTAGGAAACCTCGTATTTTTTTATCCTCCGCCAAAGAGACTTTACCTGAACTCAGAGTTTTCGTGGGTGAGTGGTTGCAAGGGTCAAATCAATCTTGAGTAGTTTACCTTCACTGTGAACAGCTGCGGATGCACAAAGCCAAACGGCACAAAGCTAAGACGAGACTCTCAGGCGAATGGGTTAGGTCAAGCCAGCTCCGCTGCAACATTTGCTCCATGAGTCTCCAAAGTTGTGAGTTGAGCTTGGCAAGGAAGAACCTCCTTGTAACTTGCAACGCGTCCCTGCCCTCAGAATCGGTGTTGCAGGTACTTGCAACCTTACCTTTGTTGGTTGTGGTCATCCCTGAGCACTCAAAATCAAGAGGGGTGTCCTTAGTCGACAGGACTGCGGTAATAGACGTAGGAATGTCCCCAGCCGTGAAACAGCGCGCAGAGGGAGGAACGTTTCAAAGGTAGAGGAATGGGACAAAAAGCGCAAGCAAATGATTGCAAGCCCATGGCTTCTTGTCACAACTTCCTTCCGCTGTGCTACTCATGCCTGCTGCGAACCTGACTCTGCACTCTCGCGAAATATGTGCAGATCGGAACGCTGGATCCTCTCGTGAACAGTCACCTTGCTCGGCCATTCTCGGCCCCTGTCTTGCCAGAGCAGAGCGGCCCGCCGGACATAGCCAGAAGTTGCACCCGTCCACGCTGCTTAATTTTGACATGTGTTTGTGCCTGTATCACGGGGAAAGAGGGCATTCGGCATCCTCTCTCCGCTTCTGCAACCATGCCGGAGGCTTACTGATTGCTCAGTCATGTCTGTTGGATCAAGTGGGCTTGACACCTGCTTGTCTGGTGATATGCCAATCTAGTCCGCACGAGTCAAGTTGTTTGGTACAATATGATTGGCACAATTCAATGCATATGTCATGATGTTCAGCTCTAAGTTTGCAGCCAGCTTCCATGACAGCTGAGCTGCTCCTTTGGCGATGTCATGCTCCATTGCATGCGTCGGTGGCTACTCTTCTTGTTTACCGGCCGTCGGCCACTTTCGTACGGCGCCATCGCCTCACTTGCATGCAACCTTTCACAAGCGCACGCATGGATGGAGGGAGTGAATATTGTGGTTGTAGCTTTTACGCATCCCCTTAACTGCAGGGGTGGACTAGTGGAGAACATACTGGTTCTCTAAATTTATCTAATACAGATCGTCGGATCGTAGTGGGTTAATCAGGAACATTTTAGTAGCCTGAGTTCAACATCTAATTTACCATTCCTTGTGCCCCGCGCGTGGAAATTTAAGGAGCAAGGCTACAAAGTGGCTCCATTAGCCATCTTCCGCAGTGCGCACAAAGCTTCCCTCAAGCTAAACGCATCAAAACAATAACGCAAACAAACTAGAAAACGTATAGAGTGATAACACACTGGCAGGGTGCCTAAGGCCTAAAGTATCCTAAGGTCCGGAATGCTGCCTTCCTAGCTGTCCACCTCAAAAGGTACTTAAGATTGGAATGGCCCGTTGCTGCCCTAGGCGCAGTCTTGACAAGGTCATTGCTTCGCGGTTATGTGGTTTTCAATGCACGTTTCCGACGCGCGTTGTAATTGTGCTTCGGTAAATCCTGCCAACCTATATCAAGGCCGCGAACACGACATGTACAGGCAAGTCATTGGCCAAGTGTAGACGCAAGCCATTGGCAGCGTGTATCAGCGAGGGTCATGCCAGCATGTTGGGAAGGCCTTGCCGTCGTTGTGTTTACAACGGCTGATCATTGCGTGCTCAAACCTCAGGCTTGTTGCAGGCATGGAAATGAGGATGCTATGGGCAGGGTGGAGCGTTTCCTCGCATGAGCACACAGACAGCCAACACTTTCTTGTTGCCTTTTGTTGGTTTTGATGTTGTGGTGGTTGTGCAAGTCCCGTGACATGATCCCCTCGGTTTTGTGCACCCGCCCGGTGTATTTGTCGGTCTGGTGCCGCCAGTTTGCGTAAATTGTTTTGAACCACGGCGGTCATTGAGCAAGTCGCTGACCGCTGGGGGGCCATATTTTCAGGTGAGTGGCAGTAGTGCGCACAAGTGCCAAAACGAACCATTAGCGCAAGTAGCAGCACCTTTCAGAGCTTTGCCATTGTAAAACTGCAAGTCCCGAGAGTGCCCAGCCCTTAGCCGAGGAGGCCTCTTCCAAGCGCATGGTGTACGATCCAAACTTGTGGTATATCCATGGAAACACCTACGACTTGCTGCTTGGCCGTGAGGACAAAAATGCACTGCATTTTCTATCAGAGATGCAACATATAGCGCTCAGGCATGAGTTTGTTGACAAGCACCCCGGCGGACGCATGGCCCTGTTGACTGGTGACTTGGCTGCTTTCCAGATGGCATTTGGGGCATGCTTGATCACATGCGGCCACACCTGACCCTTTGCCTGTTAATTGTTGCTTCTAAGGAGGCCATGGCAAGTAGGTTGGAGGCCATTGTTATTATATAGTAACAAGAAGCTACTAGTAACAAAGGGCATTGCCACTAGGAGCAAGAAGCTACTATTAGCTCCTGGCATTTCTACTACTATAGCAACAAGAAGCTACTAGGTGGTTCCTTGTTTTGTTATTAGGAGCAAGGACGCTACTAGGGGCTCCCAGCCTTACTACTAGGAACAAGGAGCTACTAGGGGCTCCTGGCATCGCTACTAGGAGCAAGAAGCTACTAGTAGTTCCTGTCTGTTTTTTGTTAGGAGCAAGGACGCTACTAGGGGCTCCTGGCCTTACTACTAGGAACAAGAAGGGCTCCTGGCATCGCTACTAGGAGCAAGAAACTACTAGTTACTAGTAGCTCCTGGCATTTCTACTAGTAACAAGAAGCTACTAGGTGGTTCTGGCTTTTTCAGGAGCAAGGACGCTACTAGGGGCTCCTGGCCTTATTACTAGGAACAAGAAGCAACTAGGGGCTCCTGGCATCGCTACTAGGATCAAGAAGCTACTAGTAGCTCCTGGCCTTTCTACTAGTAACAAGAAGCTACTAGGTGGTTCTGCTTTTTTTAGGAGCAAGGACGTTACTAGGGGCTCCCGGCCTTACTAGGAACAAGAAGCTACTAGGGGCTCCTGGCATCGCTACTAGGAGCACAAAGCTACTAGGAGCTCCTGGCATTTCTACTAGTAACAAGAAGCTACTAGGTGGTTCTGTTTTTATTAGGAGCAAGGACGCTACTAGGGGCTCCTGGCCTTACTACCAGGAACATGAAGCTACTGGGGGCTCCTGGCATCGCTACTAGGACATGTATATATCTATGTATGTATGTTCGCAGATTTGGTTTGCAGATGTCTTCGTGGTAGTGCCTTTGTCGTGGCAGGTCGCGGTCGCGACTGCACAGCCCTCTTCGAATCGTGCGGGGCCTTCGGTCGCTTGAATTTTCTTTTACCGATTTTGATGTACGTGCATGATGTGGCAGTCTCGATTTGAGCAAGGTTGATCATTGATAATCATAAGGGGTCGCAGTGATTGGCTGGCGCCAGGAGAAGGCGCATATGATATGACTCACTAAGAGGCAGTCACTAGTTTCCCCAAACGCACTCAATGATAAGGCACTGAGAGCCCCCAGAAGTGAACTTTGTAACTTGACATCATCTTGGAACAGTCCATTGCCTCTATCTCTGCATGCTGCATTGCTCTTCGATTGATTAATTCCCCAGATAGCGGTGGGGTTCTTACTTCAAATAATAATGAGCTGGCTGCGCGCGCTTTCGAGACAGGGTGCCGGTGCCGGGTGCTGGTGCTAACTTTTGCTGGGTGCTGGGTGCTGGTGCTAACTTTGGTGCTGGTGCTGGGTGCTGGGTGCTGGCTGTGCACGTGGTGGAGACAGGGTGCCGGTGCTGGGTGCATGTACATTGTGCAGCCTTGTTCCAGCCAGCCGCGTGTCAACACGTCGTGGGATTCTGCCTAGCAATCTGGGTCTATGCTGGTGTAATTTTTTTCTCCGGCACTCTGACTCTAACCATGAGCGCCATAAATAAGAAGTGGCTCCATTCTTATTCCTTGGAGCTCCAGCCCTCGTGATCCTGGAAAAGATTTTAGTGGTCTGGAAACATATTTTGGTGGGGCCTTTATTCCAAGCAAAGTCCACTCCAAAGGCTCCGACACATGATCTTAGCAACTTAGGTGATATCACTTTGGGGCCATTCCTGCTAAATGATGATCAGTCGCCTTTGTGTTGCCTCCAAAGAATCATTTTTCAAGGCTGAAAGTAATTTTGTTTTCCAAGCATACTCTCAGATAGATTAGTCGCATCGGTTTGCGCTAAATGTTGCCGTTACTCGCGTCGAAAGGTCTTCGGGAAGTCGCATCGCTTTCATGATTCCATGCTGTTTTGAGAACATGCGACATGCAAATGATCTAGCTAACCTTTCTTTCAATGCTACTGGGGCCTCGCTTTAAGTCGTATCAACTGGAGGAAAGTCGTATCAAAATGGTGTGCCCTTGAGGATTGGCTTTTCTATGGATGTTTGTTGTTGTTCTATTTGTTCTACGAGCTGATGTTAATGTGCTGTGCCCATGCGTTGCTTGCTTGTGTGATAGATTCAACAACCTTGTTGCATCATTGCATCGTGTTTTTCAACAGACAGCGTGAGCTATTAGGGTTCTTACTTCAAGGAGCTGCGTGTGTGCATTTTCGAGCGTGGGTGCTGGCGCCGCTGAAGGGTGCCGCTGTTGTTCCAGTGTAGGAGGAGCTGCGTGTTTGCGTGCTCGAGCTTGGGCGCTGGTGCCGCCGCAGGGTGTGCTGGGGAGCTTGGGTGCTGGCGCGTTGCAGAGTGCCGCTGCTGTGTGCGCTTGAGAGCTTGGGTGCTGGTGCCGCTGCAGGGTGCTGCTGTGTGCACTTTGGATCTTAGGCATGTGGCCATGTGCACTTTGGAGCTTGGGTGCTTCTGGGCTTGGCATGGTGCTTGGGCTGGGATATACTGCCTTGGACCTCGCCTGGACCTCGCCCATACCTCCCCTAGAACCACCATATCCTCCTGCTGCTTGTATGCTTGTATGCTTGTGTGCTGCTTGCCTTGTGCAGCTTGCATGCTTGTGTGCTGCTTGTCTGCTGCTGCTTGTGCTGCTGCTGCTGCTTGTGCTGCTGCTGCTGCTGCTGCTGCTGCTTGTCTGCTGCTTGTCTGCTGCTTGTTTGCTGCTGGTTTGCTGCTGGTTTGCTGCTTGTTTGCTGCTTGTTTGCTGCTTGTTTGCTGCTGCTGTGCTGCTGCTGCTTGTTAACTGCTGCTGCTGCTGCTGCTTGTTAGCTGCTGTTGCTGCTTGTTAGCTGCTGCTGCTGCTTGTTAGCTGCTGCTGCTGCTGCTGCTGCTGCTGCTGCTGCTTGTTAGCTCCTTCTGCTGTGCTGCTGCTATTGCTGTTGCTGTTGCTGTTGCTGTTGTTGTTGTTGTTTGTTTGTTTGTTTGTTTGTTTGTTTGGTTGGTTGGTTGGTTGGTTGGTTGGTTGGTTGGTTGGTTGGTTGGTTGTTGTTGTTGTGTTGGTGGTGGTGGTAGCTGCTGCTGCTGCTGCTGGTGTGCTGCTGGTGTAAATGCCTACTGCTGCTGCTTCCGCAAAGGAAATGGAATAATTTTGTATAAAACCAAAACATGTTTCAAACACTAAAGCGCCTTGTAAACAGGAACCTGATGTGACCCTGATGTGACCCCGTCGCATCGGGCCCCCCCCTTGCAGATTAACAGTTTTCCAGTCACTTGATGTGACTAATATTGTTGACAGTACCTTTTTAATACACTTCCATGCAGCTAAATGCCTTCCACGGATGGTTTCTAACTAAAGCGAGAGCGTGTAAGAGGGGCGAATATGTTCCTTTTTTGCCAAGTCCCGGATGGCTTGGTTGTGGTCGAGGATATGTGCCCGGCGATTGCATACCAACTACAGATAACTTGCCGCGTCCAAGCATGCACGGCAAGCTAAACAGCATTAGTTGGGGGCAGACCTGGCCGAGTTCAATTAGGATTGAAGTCATCAGCGTGGCCCGACAGGGTGCCGGGCGCTGCTGATCGCTGGTGCTGGGTGCTGGGTACCGGTGTTGGGTGCGACAGCTGTGTCAAGGGCTGTACTGTTTGCGCGCATACTTTTGCACGTCGCAACGTCAGGCTCTCAACCAGCCATTGTTTCAGCATGCTACACACTGTAGTCGTGCTGGACACTGCTTGGCCTTGGGCGAGTGAAGCCTACGGGCTAGGGACTTGCACAGGACCCTGCGTTTTAGCAGCGACCCTGTGATTAAGGAATCTGGTGTTTCGGGGGTCTTTTTGGAAAGCGTGATGGACACACAACCGCGCGGAGCACCGGTGAGGTAGTTCTGCTCAGATTCATAAGAGGCCCAAACCAAAGGGAAGGGCTGTAATTAAGGCTTTTCAAGTCACAAATCAATGCTAGAATCTGAGTTTCAGAACCAACATTTTAAAATCTGAGCAGCTAGTTGATGGTCCTCAAAAACACAGTTGGATAGTCTACACACTGTGAATCTACCATGGGTTTCCCTGAAATGGGCTTTTGCGGCAACAATACAACTTGCAGGATCCTACAATTTTGCGGGCTTCATTCTTCAATTCACGAAACCAAATCCTTAATCGCAGGGTCAGATTCCTTAATTACAACATGCGTGTTGTAATTAAGGTGAAACCAAATCCTTAACCGCAGGGTCAGATTCCTTAATCGCATAATCGCAGGGTTGATTCCTTAATTACAACATACATGTTGTAATTAAGGAATCAACCCTGCGATTAAGGAATCTGACCCTGCGATTAAGGAATGTGTTCATGTGACCGGTGACAGAGCAGGTTTGCTTAACGGCTGCCGTCGTTACTGCCATTGTTGCCCTGTCATGCCATTCCCAGATCATATTGAAGTGACAGACCAGAGTCCTTCTTTCAGGGGTTGCATTCACATGCAGGCCAGGATTGGGACAGTGAAATGATGGAGATGTGTAATATATATATATATAAATATGCAAAAACAACCTTTTTACAAACCTGAACTAATAGTTCAAGAGCACAAACAACTGTTTGGGTGTCCCAAGGCCCATGTGTGAAGTTGGGGATTGGAGCAGGGTAAAAACCTTGCCTGAAAACAACCTGTGAGGCCGCGAAATAAGGTTTTTGCGTGTGCGACGTCCCCTCAGTTTCCTTTTTCCAACGGTCTTTTCCAATTGTCCTTCAAAAACCAGGTTCCTCAATTTTGGGAGATGATCAGTCAGATGTAGCATTTAAAAAAGGCTTAATCGCAGACGACTTTCTTAATTACAGGCTTCAACCCTATCCTGTGCAAGTCCACACTACGGGCTTTGCCGTTTGTGCGCATACTTTTGTGCGCATAACTTATACGCGCAAGATCATATCGCCTTATCGTTCTACAGATCGTTGCTTCAAGCATGCTACAAAGTCAAGAGTGGCGCTGGATATTGCTTGGCCTTGGGCCAATGACGCTTACGGGCTTTGCTGATAGCGCGCGCACTTTTGTGCGCATAAATTTATATGAGCAAGATCATGCGTGATTGTTCACCAAATAGGGATAGCTATGGGGTTCTTACTGCAAATAGGAATGAGCTGGCTGCGAGCGTTTTCGAAGGGGTGTCGGTGCTGGTGCTGGTGTTGTGGTCCTGGGTGTTGGTGCTGTGAGCTGGCTGAGGTTTGAGACGGGCGGCGGCGCTGGTCGGGCGCTGTCTATGCTGGTTCCTGTGTGTGCTTTGGAGCTGCCAATGAAGGGTGCAGTCGAGAAAAATCTTGCATGTTTTTGCTATCTGGGGTCTATGTTGGTGTAATTCAATTGTTCCGGTTGGCTGATGGCTGGGGGGTTGCGCAGACAATGGGATCGATTTGATTTTTTTTTTAAAATCCTTTTTGTCGGATGTAGTAAGTTGCCCCAAAAATCCAGGAACTGAAATCATTAGTGCGTGAACTGTCCATATGCCAGCTTCCTAGTAGCTAGGGGCGAAAATTAAGCAGGCGTCTCTACTTAATTATATATATATACAAGTAATTATTAGGAGGGCAGGGGGCCGAGCGGGAAAAACATCGCACAGATAAATCTAGTTTGACCGACATGATTGACTATGGGCTTTTGGCAAGTGGTTATCGCGCGAGACGTTTGCTGCCTCTTGCTAAAGTCAGCTGCTTCCGTTCCTCATTATCAACTGTTGCTCAATTTGGAATGTTGTAAACTGACAGTCTGGCCACATGGATGAGAAACCAGGTTTGACACATTTGCAGGTACCATCCTTGGAACGACAAGCACCGCAAGATTCTTCGTGCTTATGGGGCAGCACCGCCTCCACCAGACCCCTTTTACGAGGAGATCAAGGCCATGATAATGCTGCATGCACCTTTCAACTGTTGGCCTGACATAGTGCTGTGACAGTGAGGCTGGTGTTCGCGAAGCTTTCCCAGAAGGTTGTGGTAGCACAAAGATGCGGACCCACGCCATGATCGTCACATGGGCAGCACGTGAGAAGTACTGTCTCAATGCTGACGTTAATTTCAGTCAGTGGTCAGATTACGTGCAATCAGCGCTTTCCTATTTGACGGCGCCCAAGGGCTTGGCAGCAGCGTGGTCTTTGATGACTCTTGCCAGAAGTATATCTATATATATATATGTTCTTTTTTTCTTCAGTGCGGCCGGAACAGGCCCCACCAGAAATTAAGTCCCGGCACCTCTCAAAACTAGCTTTGAGATTCTTCGTGGTTCCAAGGATGTGGCTCTTTTTCGTCGTGGCCACCCCTCTATCCAGCCACTCTACAGCAACACCTTCAGCCTTTACAGGCTGTTTCAAGTGAATATAGATGAATATAGTAAATGTTGAGAGTATATTATGCGAATACTGCGTGGATGCCAGCATTGTACGTCCTCTCAGTGTGATTTTCCAGTTCGGTCCACGACCTCACATTGGATGTGTCAATTGCTCCTTGTACTCCAATGTGTGTGTATTTGTTTTAGCTGTTGCTCTTTCTGGCACAGTAGACAGAAACACAGGTTGCACCTAGACCTACATGTGCAAGAACACATTTTGCAGCTGGAGAACACATGTTTTCCTGGTTCGATAGTTTATTTTCTGCGCTCAGCGCAGTCAGGCACGCATGTATGCAGACATGCAGGCAGGCAGAGACGCAGGCATGCAGGCGCCCAGGCAGTGACATCCCTCATCCCTTGTGTATTCGGTTTGTGTGATCACTGCCCTTTGCTGCATTGAGGTTTGCTTGCTGGTTGCCTGGTTGCGACAGTTGCCACTCGCCTTTCTCATGAGGGTGGTCATTGGCAAATCAGCCGAAAAGACTCTGGGCTGGCAATTAGTGACCGTAGCTGCGAGTTTTGCTTTTTAATCACCAGCGCCGACCGTAATTGCAGATCAGCGGGCCACCAGGAGTGGGTGAATCGCCTTGCGCTCTTCCTGGGTTTCTTTATTGTTGGCCCTTCAATGTCCGCATCTCAGAGTCAGTCATGGTCACTGTCAGGGGACAGAGCCTATACACGATCATGGTTCTCTCTCAAGACTTGCGGCATCTTGTTACATCGTGTCTGACGTGCCCCATTGCACTGGTGGACTTAACATAGCCGCTTCTTGGCATAGACGTGCAGGTAGACTGTAGACGTTTCATGGTGAAGGAGTTGGAGGCTTTTCTTTAGAAATGAGCGCGCCGCGCTGCCAGCCTAGCAACGGCTGCAGCACAACCACGGCTCCAACAATAAAACCAAGACGAGCAAAACCGGCAAAGGAGTTTTGCTCGCGCTGATGCCGGTCACGAGGACAGCTTAGGACAAACTAGCTGGGGTTTCAGAAAAGAACGAAGGGGAGGCCACTACATCGGGAGACTTGTTTTCCATGTTTCCGAATCGGTGCTGTTGCACCGATTCGGTGTCAGAGGACGGGCCAGGCAAAAAGCACAAAGCGTAGGCGCTATCCTGACCACAACTGAGCACATCTAAGGCCAGCACCAAAGGCAAACAAAGAGGTCTCTATATAATCGTTTCTGAGTGCAACCTGAAAGCAACACAATTTCACCACTGAGTCTTAGCAAAAGAGAGGGCATGCTTTCGGCAACCGTTCATGCTGCATCCACGTGTTCCTCACCTCCCACGCGCTGAGCGGCGTCCAAAAAGGAAGGATCACGAAGTCTTCTCTTTTGCATTGCAATAAGTCTGTCCGAACTTTCAACAAGGCCTCTGCCGTCAGCGGGCACCCCAAGAAATGCTCCAGCACGTCCCCCACTTTCTGCCATGTTTCAAGCAAAGCACGCAGCAGTTTCCCACTGTGAAACCCTACCCACCGCATCCCTTGTTTACTGGCCCAAGATGCCAGAAGTGGGCAGCAGGTGCCAGCCCACCCATGCTGCATGGCTGGGTGGCTGGCTGCAGACCACCATTGCAATAGAGGCGCCCTGGGCCTTGGGTTTGATGAGTGCCAGGTTTTGGGAGGGTTTACCCACTGCCGTTGCCGGGCTGTAGTTGGTCGCTTCGAGGCAGCAAGGCAGCTGTGATCTTCAGCAGGCTGATTGCAGGGACGTGCTGGTGACACACTGGCCTGCCTTCCACCCACAAAGCTTGCAGCTACCAAACTGATGCACCCTGCATTCCAACAGAAGCTGTAGCTGCAAGCAACAAGAGTGTTGAGTCATGCAAGGGTTAGGGTCAGGTGGCAAGCCACCAAACTTCCATGCAACAAAGTACCATTTCTAGTTACCAGCAAGAGTTATAAATCTTTCATTGGAGAGAGCATGTTTTCATTTTTTAAAACAGATCTTAAACCAAGTCAAAAAAGGCAATCCCACAAGTCAAAGTCAAAAAAGAGTCAAATCAGAAAGTTTCAGAAAGTAAAAAAAGTCAATTTGACAAGATCTGACGTTTTCTTTACTTTTGTTTTTCTCATTTTGACTCCTTTTGTGAAAAAAACAAGTTTTTTTTTCTTCCTTTTTTGTTGACTTAAAAAAACAACTATTCTTTTTGACTTTTTCGAGTAGTTGACTTTTTTGACCTTTTTCTCCGATTTGTTATATATATATATTTTTTTTCACTTTTTTTGTTGGACTTTTTCGTGCGGTTGCCCATTTTTGATTTTTTTTTTTTTTTTGTACATTTTTGTTTAAAACATTTTTTTTGACTTTTCATCTTTTAACTTTGACTTTACCATTTGACTTTTTTGCCTGTTTTTTTTAAAGAATTCTTTTTTAGATCAAGGATTCTGGCCTTACCAAATGAAAGATTTTTATAAAGCAAGAGCAAGCCTTGCCTAGCCAGGTTCGCTTGCTGTTGCATGTTTGCATAGCACTGCGTCACGGCGGGGGGAGGGCGAAACGCGGAAAGCCTGAGATGCCCAGTCAGAAGTGCAGTTGGCTGCTAATTTAGCTATGTGTCGAGGGCGCTGTTCATTGTCCTGGCTTCCGGGGCCAGTGTGAATCCACGGTGTGGTGGGCCATTTGTGGGACTAATTCATTGCTTCGTTCCTTTGCAGCTTATCCTGCCAAGGCTTTGATGGAAGGCTCAGCGTGAGCCTGTCTTGAGAAGGACCCCCTGTCTGGATTGGCAAGCGGGGAGCTTCGACAGCTCTAGGCTTTGTCAAAAAAAGCAAAAGGTTCGGTAAATCTGGGTATACCAAGGCTTTGGACAGTGCCAGGATTTGGGCCCGCAATAGGGCATGCGGCACGTGACACACTTGCCGGGAATGCAGTGGAAAGCTGAACCCACTGCGATGAGTGTGTGAATCCGCACCTCGAGCACAGCGTACATCCCACTTCTTGTGGGAAGCGGCAAATGGTACAGTACCACAGAAAGAACGCCTTGCATGATGAGGCTGAACTGCCAGTATCACCAAAACGGAACACATGTGGACAGTGCAATCCTGCTTGAAAGCACGAGCTAGTATTTTGGAGGGGGCCTATGTAGCACCTTCTTGCTCGAGTGACGGTTGTGTTTGACGTCCGCGAAGAGCGCTTTAGTCTTTAGCCATAATTTTGAGCCGGCTCAATCCTTTTTGTATAACTCCGCCAGCTGCATGGGCAAAAAGCAGTGAACATCACAGCAAACCACTGACTGATTCTCTTGCTGGACGGTTTCAGGTTGGGCTGTTGATGTTGAGTCTCGAGAGGTTTTGGTTTCGTAAGATGGAGTACTGTACTTGTGACCATTTCAGTGTCAATTCAGGTGCTGGTACTATCAGCATGTTGTCAGCCACCACGTGAGCACCAACCAGGACAAGGATGCTGAGAAGGATGTGGACGTGGTGCCTGGGCCAGATTTATTGAAAGTGCTGTCAGCAGAGAGCAGGAACAGTTGAGGCAACGAATTTTTGAGCTCAAACTCTGGCACCTTCAGTTTTGGAACCAAGGAGTACATTTGGATTGCTGACAAGTTCCCTGGCTGGCTGAAGGCAAAGCGCTGCACCTCATTTTGGTGGCCAAACTCTGTCACGGTCACGGCTATGCATGTGGGGCCTTTACCAAAAAAGGCGAACGAATTGATGCCTAAGCAGGTCTTGTCGCTGCCTGGCATTTTCATTGGCACTGTGATTGAGATTGGAGTGAAGCGCCGCTTGCCTGCAAAGGGCCAAGACTGAACTCTTAAGTGAGCAAATGCAATGGGACCTAGGTATGATCGTTGATTTGCTCATCCGCGGGCATGCTTCTTGGCAACACCCGCAACCTTGTGATCAAAACACGTACCACAGAAGTACTCGGTGACTGCTGAATATATATATATATAGCTTGCCTGCGAATCTTGCAACAGAACTGCGCCACCTGCTCCCTCAGGTTGGTGGGCACAAGGTGGACTACCGTGGCTTGGCGAGAGCAAACTAAGGAGACAGACTCCAAATGATACACAAACACAAGCTTCAAGGCACACGCCTCATATTGATGACTTGTTTGCAACGCCGGCAGTGGATCGCATCTCAAGGCTTGGGTGGAATTCTGTATGAGATCCCACTGTGGTGCTTTCTTCACTATATGTTTGGTGTCTTGGCTATGGTGTATTGACTGCTAGATTCAGAAAGAGGAACGTGTTGACGGCATGTGGCAACATCTCAATATTGTCATTCATCAACAGCAGAAGGCAACCTGTCAGCTAACATCGCGAACCGAGGACCGTCCTTCTTGTGCTATGTGTGGCTCAGAGCACATTGAGAAGTCTTCTTTCAGAAGCCCGGGACGGTCTGACGGTCTGATGATCCAAGGTGCATGTGGCTCACAGCAGGTGCAATCTTCGTCCCGTGCTCGCAAGTGGCTCACGTGATCCTCTACCCGGACTCCGGAGAGCAGCCTGCATGGGAAAACAGATGCCAGCATAGACCCGAAACAGCTTACTGTAATCGGCAAGAATGGTTGTTGTTGTTGTTGTTGTGGGCGGCCGCAGCCCCAGCCCCTGCCTCGGAAAGCAACGTAAACAGCGCGGCAGCAGCAGGACAACAGAAAGACCAGAGGATGACACGAGGTGGACAACAGAGGACAAAAGGATGAGGGAATCCAAGCAACGAACTGAGATAAAGCCCGGCGCGTTCCCACTAGGCTCCACACAAGGCTTGCGCATGTGCAATTGTTTTCTCGCACTGGACCTTTTGATTGCGCTTGTGTCACATCTTCATGCTGCCATGCTGCCCCCTCAACACCAGCAGAAGGACAACATGGGGACAACAGGAGGACTAGAGGACAACGGGAGGACAAGACGAGGACAACAAGAGAAGAAGAAGAGGAGAAGAGGAGGAGTAGACAGAAGACAAAAAGATGACAACAGGAGGAGAAGAGGTCAAGACAGCCACGGCCAAGCTGCACACCAGAAGAAGGACAAGAAGAGAACGACAGGCGGACAGACGAGGAATTTCTTTTTCCGAAGCGAGATCTCCAAAAACAGTAAGCTGCTTGGGGAGTAAGCTCGTAGAAACTCATTGGGTTTTCTGCCCAATATGGATTGAGGCATGAATCCTGGGCAAAGATGCAGATTGCTGAGAGTGTGGACTTCGCGAGCGAGTCCGATTTCTGGTGCCCAGCCGCAAAAAAATCCCAGCTGCAAAACCAATTTTGCATGCTGGCCACCTTCGGTTTACTCGCATACAGGCTTGGAGATCACTCAGCTTGAGTTTTGTGCTCCGAGTTCCCCAGCTTAGGTTCCATACGGCCTTCGGCCTCACAACCCAGATCGAGCATCACTTGTTCCCCGGCATTGGCGGCATGGCTGCGTGATGCGTGGTCGAATTAGGGAAACTCGTGAAGTGCTGCTCCAAGTTTTTTGGTTGCGCATTGCGAGGCCACCATTGCTATGACACCTGCCGGAAGATTACCCGAAAGGTTTGTGAAAAGCATGGCGTGTGGCTTGGTGGATTGAGGTGGTTGGATGCTTTGCTTTTGGTCTTCGCTGCACAAAAAACATCGCCTTGCTTTCAACATTTTTCCTCCCAGGCATCACTCCGACGTTTCTGCATCAACTGCCTTCGGGCAGGGGCCTTGATTCCCAAATATTGTCGCCAAGTCGTTCGGTTCTCTCGCTCCAAGATGGGGCACTTGACGCGCCGGATTATATATCCATGTATATGTATGAATATAATATCTATCTATCTATCGATCTATCCATCCATCCATCAATCCATCCATCCATCTATCTATTTGTTTATCTATCTATCTACCTATCTACCTATCTATTTATCTATCTATCTATCTATCTATCTATCTATTACAATAAGTTTTTTACAGGGATATCATTGACCTGCTTTTGCTGGAGCAGCTGGCTTTTGCACAGGGCATTGTGGACACGATTGGTGGCAGCCACACCAGCAGCACTGCTTATGTAAGGCCTTGAATCTTGGGCCGAGTTTAACTAACAAAAGGGACGGGTTCGATAACCAATGATTTTGCTGTGTTGACAGATGCTGACGAATGCACACAGTGTAAAAGAGAAGCTGTTTGCTATTCTGATCCAACTGAGGGAACTGTGTTCCTGTTGCAGGCATGCTGCCTAGTGCGATTGAATCTGGAGGTAGAGGCGCCAATGGCGCTGGGTTGAATGCCTTTTTTTTGGATTGTACATTCTGTCCCAACTAGAAACTGCCAGCCAGTTCTCGAGACAATGTCTTGCCGGATCCGGATGGGTCGCAGTTTTGTGGCTGCTTAGCCTTCATGACCTGGTTGGTTTGCGAGTTTGTTTCGTCTTGGGTGCCAAGCATGATTGAGCAGTGATCGAGCATTTTTGGACCTTTGGAGGCTTCCTTTGCCCTAAGCAAGGCATGTCATATTTTCAGGCTGCACACAAGACAGACTTGTTCGTGGCTGGTGTGGCAGTGAAGTTCTTCCCCATTTTGCAAGCGCTTCATGGACTTGAAGATTGAAGAGCTATAATTAAATCATATTAAAACAAACAACCAAGCAACTTGAGGATCTCGGCCTGGACGGAGAGTTGTGATATTCAAGTCAAGCGCTTGCAAGTGTTGCAATGGAACTGCCAAGTTGGAATACGTCTTTTCCGCTGACATTTCCATGCCCCAGTCTCCTTCTCAAGGAGGTTGCAATCCCAGGACTTGAGAGAATGATCTCATGTCCAAACCTTTTGGTGGAACTTGCCTGTTTCAGTGTTCCACAACCCTTTTTTCTGCATCTCCAGCTTCAGCTTCAGGCAATGGGTGCACACATTGGCGTGGGAATACAGAAGGTCGTCAGTCATAGCAACCTGCTTGGCTAAGATGTTGCTCAGTGATCGCACGTTTTGTGTACTCACAGTGTACTCTATTGTTTTGGAAATTGGGTGGTTGGAAAAAGGAATTGCATACGGAGATTCCCGGCGACTTTCTCAAACAAGCCGACCCCAACCATACAATTAGGAGGGATTTCTTCAGGGTGGAAGTGTCAACCAGAGTATGACATCCGACAGCGATGGAAAGTCCACCAGAGTTCTTCTATTGGGCTGTCTCAGGCAAAAAGGACGAGACCAGAGCCCCCATTCTCGGCGCTACGCGAGCGCCGCATTTCTTACAACCTTCTGAACGACGTGGAGAGTTTCTCTCGTGGTGACATGAAAACAGTGCGCACGGAGAGTTGCATTGAATGAGCGGCTCCGCACTGCTTCTAACGATCTTGGGATCAGGTTCCTATAGCTGTGTTGGTAAGATAAGTTGTGCTACAAGCCTTCCAGCTTGTAGCAGTCTTTCTGTTTGAGGAAAGGCGCTCCGCAAGAAGTGTCCTCTGGGAGACCCATCGCTCCACCTGCAGCTGGTGCTTCCAGAGTGGGGGCAAAGGCTGGGGGCGCTGGGGTCTGGACACTGTTTTGTGTGTTTAGGGTCCCACAGAGGTGGCTTCTATGCGCCCTCGGGATCCACGCTTTGATGAGACCAGTGGCTCGTATGACGTGGATGGATTTACGTGGCTTGGACTGAGTTCCAAAGGATGACGCTCAGAATCGAGCCAGTCGAAACACGCCGAATTGTTGAAGTACCGGCATTTCCAAATTGGAGGATTTGATGCCTCTGACAGAGTGGCTTGGCGTTGCCATGGCTCAATCAGTCTTGGCCAACCCAGGAAAGCATATGCCTTCTTGGAGGAGTGCCCTTGCCTGGCTCCGATGGCACGATGGAAACTTTGCATTTGGGCAGACCCAAATCCCGGTTGCGATGCAGGTACCGTACTGAAGAGTTGGAGAAACTAAAGGAAGCCAAGCAGAAGCTAAACACAAAGAAGAGGAGAAAGGACAATCAGTTCAATGTTTTAGCTCCATGAAGTTATCATCCATTTTAGTGTGAATGCACCGACGGGACACCGTGCAATGATGCAAATCAGGATCCTGATGCAGCGCGTAAAGAGGAAGAGTTGACTAAAGAGAGTCTCATCTCAAAGATGCCTCAAGACCGATGCTTCAGCACCCACACTTGTGCACAGTGTGAGCCCAGGATCAAGTGCAGAATTCAGCAGGACAAGCAAAGGCCTGCAGAGTTGCAGAAGCTGGTTTGGAGCAGTCAGTGGGTGGCAGATTGACCTTGTGTTTTTTGGGTAAAACGAACATGAAACCTAGCCGGAACCTGACCGCCAACGAAATTGAAGGAAGCATCTTGGAGAGCTCCGCGCGGCAGAGCTCAGCCTGAAATCAAAGGAGAGAGAGAAGGTGAAGACCACTGGCAAGGCGGTGGGCCAGACCAGCAAAACGAAGCTCGCATTATATACTTGATTCAGCTTTGCGTTCTCTTCAGGAAAGCAAGATTGAGAGCTCTTGATTTTAACACACTTTTAAGGTGTTTTGCATGTACTCCGCAGGGAAAATTGATGAGGTGACTTTTTTTATTGCGCCAGATTTAGGTATCAGGGGCATTCAGGTGTGTTGCGCCATCTATGCGCCCCGTGGCTAAAAAAACAGGAAGATTCTGCATGATTTTGTGCGCTATTTTGCAGAAAATAGCGGAGATTGGGACCGCTGCCCCACCGCAAAAGGACATCAAAAGGAAACGAATAAGTTCAAGAGGCAAGAGGAAATCAAGAAGAAATATGAGGAAATCACTATTGGTACCGGGCCACACATTTCCCTGATGTCGTAGGTAGTACTGTAACAGTGATTTTTACAGATTTTTACAGTACTTACTGTAACACTCTTCTTCACAGTATAGCCAGATTGCAGCCGGCAGGCCAAATGTACAGAACTTGGCCATTGGGCCATCTATAGGCCCCAAACTTTTTTTGGGAAATAGGGAAAACTAGTATCCGCACAGACACCCCGCAGAATTTTAATTTTCTGCAATCCAAAGACCAGTTGCGCCATCTATGACGGCCAAATAGCGAGAAAAAGGAGTTACATGGCGCGGCTGTTCCCGCTATTTGGATTTTTGAGTTGCGCCAACAACTTTCTCCCCGGTGTATATCACGTCACCGCTCGGATCTATGGAGCCATGTATAGCTACACTTGAAAGAACGACGCCCACATGCATGAATCCAAGGAAAGTACGTTGGTACATGCACACCTACATTGGAACATGCATTTTGTGGAAATAACTTGTAATGATTGGCGTGCTAGGTCTTGGGCAAGTATGGCCATTCGGATCTTTCAGCTGCACTGCAGGTTCCTTTCTTCCATGGTCGCAAGGAAGCCAGGAAACTCATTGCCCAATCCAAGAAGGAGCACTGGAGCTTTCATGAGCTTTGCATTCGGACTATGTTTGAGTAGTTTGCTACTTGCTCGCGTTCTTTACTACCTAGTCGGCATTCTCGGATGAATATGTATGTATGTGTGTGTGTGTGTGTGGCAACACTTTCTCCTCTCTAGCCAGCTGCGAAAGGAGAAGAAGGGCAGCTCCACAAGAGACAAAGCTGAGGACAGCAGAAAGGGTACAGTTGCCATTGCGGGATCACTTCGAATGGCAACGGTCACGGTTGCAAGCCTCATGCTACTGAGTGTGCGAGAGCACTAGGAAACCATCAGAAAGAAAGCCCAATAGTCATGGAGTCGCTCCAGCTCTCTGTGCAGAGAAGCTTGGGAGTATACGCCAGCCACCTGAAGTCTCACGGAAGGACCCAAAGGTAGACTTCTAAAGACAAGTATCGACTGGCAAAGTTCTCTGCAGACGGCCGTATCGAAACGTGGTTATCATCAGATCGAACCGTGCCACAAAGCGATTTTTGCATCACATGACCACCACCGCGACAGAAGTCACCACACTGCACTTCACCACAATCACAAGTCGCCGCAATACACATCAGAACATACAAATGGGCTGGGTGATTCTGGTTCAGCACCTCTTGACCATCACAAACACCATCAAAACTACTGGATTTGAACATAAACCATCATAAACCCTACCATAGACCACCCACCATACCACCCACCTCAAAACAATTTTGGTTATATATTCTGAGGTGGTTAGAGATGAAATTATATACGATATATATATATATGTATATTTGGATAGTCAGAGACTGCTGAAATCATAAGTGATATGACAATGAACATTGCCAAAATAGGTCCAACATGAGACCACCTAGGTGGGGACCCATAAGCCTCCCTACTTCTTTTCTCCAACTTGTTCAAAACAACCGCGTGGGTCCTCAAGTTCTCGACATGATTTAGACACTTATTCATATCAATCAATAACACGAAACTTATTTTGCACCTGGAGTTTTTTTTGGTGTGATTTATATGTTGCTACCACCAGCCATATATGGATAAATGTCCACATAGCTAAGCACAGAACCTATCTAATTTCACCGCAGCATCGGGCTCTTCAAGGGTTCATGGGAGAGAGTCGAAGTGGCTCTCTCCCAGTGTGCGACAGGTGCTTGCACTTCGTAGTCCGAGAGCCAGGACTAAGCACCTGCGAGCCGTGCCGAAAGCTCTGGCAGCTTCAGGTGTCTTTGCGCGGAGTGCTAGCACCTAAGAGGGACGAACAGGCGGTGGTGTACCTCCAGGAGTGTTTTACATTGCTGGAGGAGTGGGTGGCCAAGGTAAGAGAGTTGGAGCAGGAGGAGGCCACCAGAGACCAC